TATATATATATATATATACCTAACTTGATGTATCAGCCATACTAGATAAATCATACAATAGTCAATCAGTAGTAATGCAACACTATGACTCGGACGAATAGATTTACGACATCAAACTGTCTCCTATGAAATCTGTCCTATGAATCCCGTTCTAAAGCTAATATATGCCATATGTGTATCAAACAAGTATCTCTTAGGTATACCTTTTTGAAATGATTCAGCGTATCAATACTGTTCTCGCACATCTCCGTGATGAGAGTGACGCCAGTGATGAGGACCCCGTGGTTCTTCTCGGTGATCAGGCTGCGAGTGGCCGGCAAAAACATCTCCATCAACTCCGGCACGCGTCTGATGATCCGAAAGGCACAAAGCGCCGCTTTCTTTCGGATGTACGCGTTCGGTGATTTCATCAATCTCTCTACCTCGGACGCCAGATCCCTTGCCATTTCCGGCGACGCAATCGCACCGAGGGTACACAACGCCAAACCGATGACGAACTGTGTGGAACTGTTCAAGTCACTGTGCAAACAGAATCAGGGAGGAAAATTGCATCGAAAATTTGTTCTCTTGTTCGAAAATATAAAGGTTGTATTCAAGAATGCGTTTTTATTGATAAAAATGCGCGCGCTTTTATCTCTGAAATTTATATATATATATATATATTTTTATATATATATATATTAATATATGCATATAGCATATAGCGTGCTAACATTCTTGTTATAAGCGCGTTCTGAATACAAGCCATCAGAGTGTCATCAAAAACATTTGGCAGCATTCGAAATGAAGCAACGTTACTTTTTTAGACAATTTGTGATTAAGAGATGTACGTCTTGCCGTTCGTCTAGCAACAGCATGGCTCCCAAGTAACCAATTCGTTTGTCAGTGAATCTGGGCGAAGCGATGAGCTTCAAACATTCCAATTGACCAAAGTGCGCCGGATACCTGAAGTGTATCATTAACACACTTATCCTCTCAATGTCATACTTATCCTCTCAATGATGTTGAATCATATCGCAATACTCAGTTTTGCTACAATGCAACGATACAACTTAAAAATTGTTATTTATTTTAGTTTAGCATGCAAAAAAGAACAGAAACAAAAATAGAAATTAAGAACATACTTTTGTTCTATGAGTTTATTACATCAAAATATATTTCTTCTTTTCTGAAAAACGTCTTTTTTTTAATTGTATCATTGCTGTAGCAAAAATGAGCGAAAATAACAGTTAATAATACAGTTTGATACAAACCCCAGCATATGAATATACAATAGCTTAGCAATGTTACGGCATCTCCACACGCTGTCTTCTTCCCTAAACGTTGAACGAATATACGCGCATTCCTTATTCACAACCGTCCTCTCTTCTGCAGCTGTTCGTGCAGCTCGTATTTGTCTGATCAGATCCCTCAGCCGCGTCGGCGCAGGCATTCTAACTGTCGAGACTTTCGAAATGTGAAAAAGTCATCAGTATAAATTGACACTATTTTTGGCAACTATTGATTCCGCTTGCATGTAACTTTATATATCAAAAGATTATTGCAAGATCAAAAAATGTAATGCATAAATTTTTGAAATCAATATACCTTTTTTATTACTTAAACATTAATATTTGTTTAAGATGTAAAAATGAAAATCTTGTTTACATTTTTAAAACAATTCATCTTCAATATATGTGTATGAGAAACAGAGATAATAAACAGGCGAAATCAGATGTTCCAATGATTAGCTATTACAGCCATTGTGAGTCAATTAACAATACACTTACCTCTTTCCACAGCTTCATTGAAAGCCTGCTTTATGGAGGCCATGTTAAAGGCTGGGTTAAACCTGAAAAAGTACACACCCATGCTACTTTATGACTGTTAGCATCTCTACCTGCTGAACTTACTTATCGTGCAATGACACTTGTATTATACTCGGCCTAACCTTACTTTTGCAATCAATTTCATATTTTACAGTGTAAGAAAAGAATGAGGATAAAAGTTGTGTCTCTGCAGTAAGTTATGAGACAGATACATACAGCCTTGACTATGATAAGTATAAAGCAATTTATTGCATTTTCTAGAAAAAGATAATAAAAACCAAAGAAAGATTAATAAAATATTAAAATTGTTGTAAAAATAAATATTAATTTTCAATAAAGCCTTTTAGAACATTTTACATCAATTTGTGGGGTGCTTTATAAATTTGTACTTTTGGCCAAAGCTGCATTTCATATAATCAAAAATATAAAAAGGATAAAAAACTAACAAATGTTGTCATAGATTCTGTTTTTCAATGCATGTTAGAGATGAAAATAATATGATTAGTTTTTCTTTTAGTCTCATTTCTGCTCAAATTGAAAATTATCCCAAGTACACACATACACGAGTGGGATTATGCATTACCCATGTTCTGAGGCATTCATTGTTTCTCCACTTGGACTGTCAACTTGTGCCAAATTTCACAACGAAAACCAAGCGCAGACGAATACAAAACACGAACTCTGCTATCCTCCTAATAGACACAGGACGATAACAATATTATGAAACATGTTAGTATTGTATATGTTAATAAATTACATCAATCTAAACTAAAATGTACGTACATTAAAGAACAATTGATCTTGTAGTTCATAAGCCTTCTATAGAATGAAATACTGTTTAACGCTTTGCCCTATTTCAGAAAGACACCTTGCAACTTTTGACAATTCACTTTGCATATCACCTTTATAAATTATTTTCTATTTAAAATTTGTAATCGCTTGAAAGATGTATTCTCATCATTGCAAGACAATTGTACATTGAAATTAACATACAAGTGCATGATTATATTTGTCTTTAATCACTTGATTGTTCATTAAGAAACATAACAAATGAATTTTATAAAATCCTATAAAACAAATCCCAGATTTTATATTAAACATTTAATTTAAGCAAATTAAGTAAACTTTTAGAAAAATCTGTTTGATATTTCGGCTCATTTCTATTAATGTAGATTAACTTTAATTTTGCGTAGATTAATTTTAATCCAGATTTGCAAACTCGCTAAAGTCTAAAGCAATTACTTTTTATCCGTTTCTTACTTTTTATTTTTTTCTAATTGTAAAAATTAGAAAAAGATAAAGAAGTTGGACAAATCAGGTTAAACGAAATGCTCTTGTATGATAAATTTTTACATGAGATTATTTGTTCATATAAATTTTGTAATCACTGCACGCATGATTTGCATATCAAAGAAAATCTTCATCGAGAATCGAAACTTATCATTAATAACATTATTAAGTATTGTTGATACTGACACTGAATAAATTTAAATCACGATAGCTCTTCTGGTAGTAACTCTCTTATAAGATTTCATATCTATTTTCTTCAGAGCTTAAATTCATTTAAATTGTTGAAAAGATAAAAAATAAAATAAACTAAAATTAAAATTAATTTATATTTATAAAAATGAATCCGTTTCTATACCAATGTAATTTAATTTTAATCTTAATCTTCCTACATTCAACTGATTTTTCTTTTTTGGTTTTAGAGAAGAATTAGAAAAAGACGAAAAATAATTTTAATAACTTTAATAACCTAGTTCAATTGATTCATTTTTTCAAATTTTTAGAACTGAAAAGAGATAAAGAGAGTTGATTCCAGAATCTAGATAGAAAAGATTAAAATTAAACTAAGTACCTTAGTAATAGAAACGTGCATAAAACTAATAGATTCTTTTCAAAAATGATGAAAAGTGAGAAAGAGGACTGACAACTGTGTCGCGCGTAATACACATTTGTACACTCTATTTAAACTTGAGCTGCTTTATTAAATTTGTGTCAACGGAGAAAACGGAATGAAAAAGGGAAATAGCTCCAAAGTGCTTTCTGAAATAAGTCATAAATCAGTTTCCGAGATCTAAGGACACTCGGCAGGAACGTGAAGGACGTACCGATGTCGGAATGTATATCGGCGGACCGCGGGGAGCTCGATAACGATTTAACTAGAGCGTGATGTCACTCGCTCGTATGTCAGAATCTCGGCGACGTTGCAAAACATGAGTAGCTTATACGTATATTAAAAAAAAAAGAGAAAGAAAAAAGAAAGAATATAGGAGAATCGCGAAGACAATCGCCGAGAATCAATCAAGGAATTAGCCCGCGGCTGTCAAACATCGAAACTGCCTTACGAGACTCGGAAGTCTACCAGAGTCCATCGCGAATTCGTTCGGAAGCGCCCTGAACTTGGCCGCAACTCGCAAGTCCACTGTGAACGGTCAACTGCCATGAACGTCGCCGCGTCGAATCTATCGGGGAACCAACGACTTCCTGCGTGACGTGTTGCCGCGTGCGAGAATGTGCACGCGGCACGAGGACAGACGTCGAGGAAATAATTGGGAACAATATGAGTGTTATCGCGCTCTGTTCCTAAAACGAAGTCAACGTTCACACTCTGCGTGTTTACATTACGACGCTGAACGAACAACACTAAAGACTTAGTTGGAACGGCTAAAGTTGTAGCAACCACCGTTAAAATGCGAATCCTCGACAAGAGTGAATTGTGCGCCCTCATGTTTCGATCGAAGTGCTCGAAATGCCAACCGTCGTTCGACGTACCGTTTATTCGGGTGTTCGACCCGAGACTCGGGACGACGACGGTGACTAGGTGAAATACATACCGTGCGGCGCCGTCGAGTCCCGTGAACGCGGAGACTAGTCGCTAATTCGCGGCCGCGAGCCTCATGAATGTAGCTCTGCTTGCGGCCAAATCTCTACTCACACAGATCACACATACACATGCGCGTGCGCGCGCGTGCACATCCTTGCACACTCTTAGATACTCTGACCAACAGACCAACCCCGGCTATCCGCCCGCGTATATTACGATATCAAGCTGTTTTTTCTCTCTTTTTCCTTTCCTTTTTTTACCATCACCTCTCTCTCTCTCACAGTTTCTCTCTCTCTCTCTCTCCCTCCCCTCTTCTCCTTTTCTCTCCTCTCTCTCTGTCTGCCTCATCAACCACAGATCTGACAGATCGCGCGGAATTTCGTTAATTTCGTGTCATGTTCGTGCGCCACGACGGAAAGACTCAAAAATGGCCGCTGCCGTCGTCGTCATAGTAAAAAGATTACATGGTGTGCTCAGTTTGCAAATGTCTCTCTCTTTAGTTCTTTGGTCTCCCGCTTGTTCAGTGACCGCTCAATTTAGCCAACCTTTGGTCTGTTTTCTGTTCCTGCACTAGATTGCACTAGCACTCTCTTTCTCACTTTCAACAAATTCACATGTCAAATATATACCTACCTCATTTCAAGTTCCAAAAGTGTACACTAGTTCATCCACAGAAAACAGACCTCTTAAAATCTATTCTACAGTGTTTTTTGTTTCCTGTTTCTTTTGTTATTTATTGTATCTTATCTTTTTGCTTCTTATCCCGTTTTTCGTTTTCTGTTGCTCGAGATAAACGTTAACAAATTTCAGAAGAAATAGAAAACACATATCAAGAAATATAAAAATTGATAAAACGATTACAAAGAAGCAAGAAATAGGAAGCAAAGAGCACATATAAGGCATCGATTCTGTATCTTGAAACGAATTTACTAGAATACTGATAATGTCATTGGTCAACATCTAGTAAATTTGTTTGCTTTTGTAATTTTCACCTTGTTTGAAAATACAGAATCGATCCCAAGATGAAAATTACAAAAGTGAACAAATTTATTAGATGTTGACCAATGAAATTATAAGTATTCTAGTAAATTCGTTTCAAGATTCAAAATCGATCTGTTCTACAATATTTCCTTTTTATTTCCTGTTCCTTTTATTATTTTTTACATCTTGTTTTTGTCTTTTTGCTTCTTATCTAGTTTTTTATATCGCTCGAGATAAAAATTAATGAACTTCGAAATAAAAAATAGCAAAAAATATAATTGTTGATAAAACGATTGCAAAGAAGAAAAAAGCAAAAGGTAAAAAACAAGAAACAGGAAACAAAAAGCACATTGTAGAATAGGCTTTATATCCGTTTCCAATGTAGATTAATTTTAATCTCAGTTCAACTTATTCTTTGTCTTTTTTTAGTTCTGAAGATTAGAAAAAGACGAAGAAATTGAATCGAGATTAAAGTTAATCTACATTGATGGAAATGAGCATTAGTTGTTACCTTCGTCGCACGCACATTTAGGTCTCTCTTTTTATTATGTACTACCAAGTACTAGCAACGTTTGTTCGCGTCGTATATTCCCTATCCTAGAGAGAGAGTGGAGCAGATCATCCGAAAGCCGCCATTTGCAGTGTTGAAGTGAGGAGATATGGTAGGAGCATGATGGAATATATTGTACATACTAGTATTGTGTATATGTATATACACACATGCACATTTACGGAACTATAAATGGCGGAACTAATCAGAGAAGAGATGCTCTCCGTTCCATTCTCTCTTGATTCTCTCTATTCTATCCTAATTCCTATTTATTTTAACACGTTCATTCGAATGAGTAGGAGCTATAATTGAAACACATTTCAGAAATATATACTCAAAATATCTACTTTTTTATAGAATTTTTTATATACACATATATGGGTGTTTTCCAACAGGTGACACAGTGTAACACAGTGTTTTATACAAAGTGTTCTAACTATGATACAGTGTTACACTGCTCGACACAATAAAAAGCTAACTACGAGCGTGTAAAATGTTACTGTGTCAATGTTACCAACTTTTCAAAAAGTTATTTCGTAGCCATATTTATTTTACTGTAAAACCTTCAAAAATCGTCAATTCTGAAAAAATTGTAATTTAAGTCTAAATAAAAGTCATAAATCTATTATTGATAATATTATTATAAAAATAGAATGGAAAACTACAATGCATTCTGGTGTTACACTATGAAACTATTATACTGCATTCCAATAAGTACTTTACACAGTGGAACACAATGTAATGTCTCTGTGTCCTGGCTGGAAAATAGATTTTGAATTCTGAAATATTGTGCATAAGATTCGTATAAAAAAATTTGAGATATTTTCTAAGCAGTTATAAAATAATACAGAAATTCTAAAAATTCAGAATTTTTTTATATGCGAAATATAAAATATTTTAAGATTCGTATAATTTTCTATAATTTTTTCATTAATCATATATATTTT